CAGCAGTGAACTAATGATTGGAGCATCCAGAGATTCATCATTCTTTAGCTTTAATAAGCCACTACTCTCTAGATCTGCATGAACAATATCCAACTCATTAGAATTTTGAAGTGAAGTACCTCATTCTAAGAGTTCAGAGCCATTATCATCCATAGCTGAAGGAAAAACTTCTTGAGGTAGTAGGAACTTATGCTTATGGTAGGAACTCCTATGTGTTTCTAGCTTAGCATTCTCGGTCTAGCTCTTAGTTCTCTTTTGTTCTGTCTTAGACTCCGTAGATATGCCAAATGAATAAATCTAGACACTTTCCATAATTAGCATTTGGGACTAGAATGAGATTAACACAAAGGGCATAATAGCGAGGGTGTTTGGTAGACATGGTAAACTATCATTCAACAATATTGAGGGACTAGTTTCAACATGCAATCTTATCAAGTTAATGTAGAGATTGTCTTGAACACAATGGTGTTTGTCATATATCCAAACTTGCAATCTAAGGACATTATATATTTAGTAAGTTTCAAACTTGTCCCAGAGACTAACTCCTAATACTAAAGGAGGCTTAGGGTGAAAGCCCAAAGCGTGTGTTCCTTAGAGGGGGATATGGGGGGTTCCAAATGTATAATAGGGATAGTGGGTAGGTCGGGCATGGCCGACCAACCTAAGATATAGTCTAACTCTTGCTTGCATGCTTGTCTTTGTTCTGTGTCCGGCTTGGGTCTAAGCTTAAGCTCCACACTATACTAGCTGGTGGAGTACCCATGTCCTCACATTAAGCCACTGGTATGCTAAAATAGTGTCAAACTCTATTTGGCTCTGTTTTGCATATTGGTCTTAGCATTGGGATGCTGGATGCTCTAAGATTGTTCTAAGTCACTCCATGCTCCTATCCTTTTGCTCCTTGGGCTGTACGCTTAGGAGTTGCTCTATGCTTTTGTCCCTTCACTCAGCTCTATGTTTGGGAGTTTGGTTCCGTTCTTTCGTTCAGTGGCCCAAGGCCTTAAAACTTGGGTTTCGCACCACTGTCCTTTGGACACATGGCATGTGGCATGTGGTATGTGACATGTGGCATATGGAGGGTTTAGGTTCCGCTTCATGGTTATCCTATGGTAATTCACCATAGGATAAAGGGTAAAAACCACATATGCTATATCTAGGTAGGTTGATACTTAGAAAGATGAGTGTAAATGGTTTATAGGATTGCACAAATCAGAATGGCATAGCGGAAGCATGGTCTTGAAGCTTGCTATGAAGTGAGGCTATCAAGGTTAGAGAACAAGCTCCCGAATGTTCAAAGAGATGGCTTTGAATGAAAGTCAATAGTTAAAGACTTTCATGCTTATACATGAAATCATATTACGTTGGTTGAGTGACTTGCTAAGTGAGATTGGCAAGTTGGGGGAACAAAGACCCTATGTGAAGGTGTTGACTTCAAAAGGTGTGGCATATAGGGCTAAGTATAAAGGAGTTTATATATGATCATAGACTTGTTAAGTGAGAGTACTTGGCAATTTGGAAGAACTAAATTCCTAAGCTGTGATTAATAACACACTTTGGGTATAAGTTCATGCATCGGCATAAGGAGTCACAGCAGGCATTTTGAGTAATGCTGCCTATAGATGCATATATGGAGATTGAGTTCGAGTCCCAACCCTCTAGTGCTTGGGTTCGAGCCCAACCCTCTAGGGCGTGGTGATGGTTTAGAATATAAGGACACACTCATTTTTCAGTGATCATGGACTTAGTAAGGAGATTGATTTGGGCACACCGCCAAGTAGGGGATGCCCCGGAGTTGTGATGCTTTCCCATAATCTATTAGAATCCAATACATGAGTGTTCCTTGCTTAATTTTGTTATTTGGATTCCTTTCAATGATTTCTATGGCCCAATCTTGGCCACTAGTCTTTCAATCTTGTTTTTTAATTGTTGCATTAAGTAACATATAATCACTACCTCCATCTTCAAGGTATCCTTTTGGTTCCATAGCAAAGGCTTTGCTTTGCCAAGTTTAAAGGGTGTTCATCCTTAGTAAATTTCTTTAGCATTTTTTGTTGTGAGCTCTATCTATGGCCTAACTTTGCAACCCTCCCATGGGTCTTTCCTAGAGACTACATTTTTGGATTTGTTATGCCATCGCATTGATACAGTTCATTTCCTTTAGATGTCCTTTGTGGCTTGGTCACCTTGACCAAGCCACACCATTACCAATAGTTAAAATCAACACTTTAAACTAAAAACTTTATTCTTTAACCTCATAAGGACCTTATCCTTGTTTAATCATAAGATCACTTAGTGCACCTTAACAGGTTTGTTAATAAATACTAAGTTTTCAAGACTTTTAAATTGTTGACTATGACCCCAAGGGCATCCCCCACATTTTGTGGTGCACCCAAGTCAACCCTTCTACCTAAGGGTCCATAGTAATTAAGACTGGGTGTTCCCATCTTATTTACCACATCCTTGATGTTACTTGCACCGAAGTGTTTAAATTAGATATGCCGAGCTTTCACACTAAGAATCTAAGGGTGTTCCCTAGGTCTTCGGGCACCCTAAAGATGCTAAGGTATGGTCAAGCGATGACCACTCATTGCCAGTCTTTGAGAGACAGGACTGTGATGTACATGGTCGTGAACTATTGATGTGATAAAGGTGAATGGATATAGCCTTAGTGTAATAAGTTAATATGTCCATAGTACATTTGGAGTGTCAATCATGGGATCAGACACCTAGAGCACTTTGACCAAGTGCAAAGGCTGAGCGGAATGGATGCCATTCACGGGGCTAACAACGTGGTTTTTACCCTTTATCCTATGGTGATTTACCATAGGATAACACCACGAAGCGGAACCTAAACCTTTTTTATGTCATGTGACACATGCCACATGTCATATGCCATGTGTCCAAAGGATAGTGATGCAGAACTCGAGGTTCAGGGCCTTGGGCCACTGAACAAAGGAACAGTGCCAAACTCCCAAGCATGAAGCCAAGGAGTGACGGAACTGAACCACGGAGAACCTCTCGAGCATACAGCTCAAGGAGTGAAGGGACAAGAGCCCGGAGCGACTTGGAACAGTCCTAGAGCAACTAGCATCCCATTGTCAGGACCAGTACGCAAAACAGAGACAAACAGAGGCTAGTGCTATTTCGGCATACCAGTGGCCTAATGCAAGGACATGGGTACTCCACCAGTTAGCATAGAATGGAACTTGGACTTAGACCCAAGCTAGACGCAAAACAAGGACAGGCATACAAGCGGGAGCTAGACTACTATCCCTACTATACATTTGAAACCCCCCCCCCCCCCCCCTCCCTTGAGGAACACACGTTTTGGGCTTTCACCCCAAGCCTCCCTTAATATCAGGAGTTAGTCTCTAGGACAAGCTCAAAATTTACTAAATATGGAATGCCCCTAGATTGTGAATTTGGACACGGGACGAGCACCATTGTGTTCAGGCCGATCTCTACATTCCATAGATATGCCAAATGAGCAAATCTAGACACTTTTCATAAATAGCATTTGGGACTGAAATGAGACTAACAGAAAAGGGCATGATAACGAGGGTGTTTGGCAGACACTCATCCAGCAATACTGAGGGACTAATCTCAATATGCAAAGGTTCTTGTCACTAGCCAGGGCAAGACATAACGAGATAGGAACTCTTTACTAAGTTAAGTATGTTTAGCTAATAACATGTAAGAATTCCATCCTTATGCTTGTCCGATCTAAATACACTTGAAATGCCCAATTAACTCCACTAGCACAAGAGGGACTGATAAAGGGTCTAACAATACCAACCTCCTGCCATCGTGGCAGTAAGGAAAGAGTGTTCGTAAAGACTGGCCGACAGGTAACTTTTGATACCTGAAGTCACATTTGTGACACCACTGAATGAAGGAATGGAGCCAAACTCCCAAGCTTGCAACCAGGGAGCAAAGGGACCGGAGCACAGAGAAACTCTTGAGCGTTCAATCCAATGAGCAAAAGGATAGGAGCATAGAGTGACGTTAAAATAATTTTAGAGCTTCTAGCATCCTAATGCCAAGACCAACATGCAAAATGGAGTCAAATAGAGTTTAGCACTATTTTAGCATATTAGTGGCCTAACACAAAGATATGGATACTCCATCAACTAGTATGGTGTGGAACTTAGGTTTATGCTTAAGCCAGATACAAAACAAGGATGAGCACTCAAGACTATACCTCAAGTTGGTTAACAATGCCTGATCTACCCATTATCCCTACTATACATTTAAAGCTCCCAAGGCTCCAAAGCATCAAGAAATGTGCAATTGCCCCTCAATTGCCCCACTATCACATACCTTTACAGGAAAGAAAGCAAGAACACTCCTCTATTTGATTAAATTTGCTTAGGGCCACTGTGTTGTTAATAGCAGGCTGTGAAGCCATCTCCCTTGCTCTAGAATTCTCCCTCAAACCCTTTCAATCTTCTCAAGAGAACACTAACCCTCAAGACACTCTCAAATTTAAGATTAATATTTAAGGGTTATTAACAAGCTGTGGAATGCTCCACTGATAACCCTACCCTCTTGACTGACACAATCCTCTCTAGTTGGAGCTCACACACAAACTCAAGGCAGCTGTGTTGCCATTGAAATCCCTTTGGACTTTTCAATCTAAGTTTTATAAGATCATTATTAAACATTATTAAACACTTTTAAATGCTTTACAAAAGGGGGTAAAGCCTAGCCTAATTCTTATTTTCCTAAAACTATCTTTATCCACACTTTGTCTTGTAGCAAAGATTTTAAGCACCCAAATCACAAAAAAATATCCTAATGGATTTCCACCTTCTGACTAAGTCTAAGCCTTCTCAAGATGCAACCTATTTTGTTCTAGAGTGGACTAGATAAATTCCTCACTCCTTTGCCCCACTAGGCCATGATCTATTTGACTAGATCTAAAAAAAAGTTGATTCTCGTGATATGAGAAGCATTGCTGTTTTTAAGTGTTTCTTCTCAATTCACGAACTCACAAACCAATGGCAGCATCACCGCCCCAAGTGAATCACGAATGGTCGAGCGCTCAAGAGATTTCACTCTCTTTGGATGTTGTAGCGGCTGCAAGAACTCACCTGGAGTTTCTATCGGTGGTACACGCAAATTACAGGCTTTTCGAGGAGCCTACTTTAAACAGAGCGATTGAGAGGTTTATCTTCTACACTTTCTAACCTTGTGATTAATTTTCTTTGTCTCTCCCAAAACTAGATATCAGTACTGTTGTCTTCCATTGCTAGCCAGTTCTTCGTCAAGACTCCTTCCACCACTTGACTGCGAATGGATTTGGCACTGCCATCGCTTGAATCCAGTGAGTCTTAAAAGGATAATTCCATATTTTTATAGATTGCTTCCAATATGCCGAGGATTGCAAAAGACTTTTTGGAAAAATAGTGGACACACCTTGCCTGGAGAAGTCCAAGAATGCTCTCCAACAAAGTATTGTTGCTTGGACTTCCAGCTTTCCAGACGAACCGTATGAACTCGAAGAGAAAATCTCTTTGACGAGACCATTGTACTCCGGAAGATCGAGTGGCATCTCCTACAACTTGGCTGATGCGGTTCTCAGGCAGCAAAAGTTTTACTATCAGGTATGTGATGGTTTGCTTTTAGACCTACGAAACTTGGAACTCATTACCGTAGCTATAACAGGTTTCCGGGCCGCACTACGTTGACAAGAACTTCTTACACGCTGCGGCTGCTCGATACAAGGCCTTTCTCCATCTCGTCGCCCGACACACATCTGCAGCATCGGTGTTCTTAGTTCCCACTTACGACATTGATTTGATATGGCACACGCATCAACTTCATCCTGTGAGTTACAGAAGCGACCTCACACGGTTATTTGGAAGGATCTTCGAACATGATGATACAGACAGTAACAGAGATCCCGGAGGAAAATTGGACAAAGGATTCGCAAAAACTCTGTCTCTGTGGGAATCTTTATATGATTTGCCATACGAGAAGGCAGGGTGCATGTATAGAGGGGAGCCGCCAGCAGCGATTTCGGGAACGATTGCTTATGATCCCACCAAGCTCGCGAGTCTCTCTTGCAGAAACAAGGTTTCACTGAAAGCCAGGAACACTATCCAGGTATATGGTCAGAACTTTTGCAAGTTCGGTATGAATTACTCTGGTCGTTCAAACGCAGGTTCGTCTCTCCGTGCGAGGTTCCAAAGGTTTGCCGCAGGATGGCATGGTCTCTTTCGTTTTCAGCATGTTAAAGAAAACAGGTTTTGAGCTCCATAGCCAAAATCGCATAGGCTCATCGCCGAGGAATATAGTTTCGTCCATGACACCCGAGCTATCCACCGAGGGGCTGGTGATCACAGCTTGGAAGAAGGGAATGTTCACGTCCAAAACGCTGGGACGACTCGTCATTCCGTGGAAAAACCTCAGCGATTCCGAGATGCAGTCGCTTGGCGGCTGGTTTCCCATGCAAGACACAAAGAAGGACCGAGAAGTGTTGGTGCTGGTTTACATCTCCGCTACTCCTCCGGTCACTGCGAATTATCTCTTGAGAAGCGTGAGAGTGGGAGACACTGGAGAAGATGGAGTCACTCGCAGCAGTTTTAGTTCTCAAGGCGTGTGGATAACAAGGACTGTCTTCGATCATGCCAACAAGGAATGTTTCGTCATTCGTTGCTGGTAAGTTTGCCATGTTTTTCTTTTTTGTGGATGACATGAATCGCTCGATCTCTCCTTTGCTGTCTAGATACAAACGTGAAGGAGGTAAACGTCTCCCAGACACTGATAAAGTTGTGGTTCATCGGACATACAAAGGCTCCAGCTCCGTTGATGGTAATACAACAATCACAAAGTTTTCACTCTTCTGTTTTTCTCAATTCTTCCTAGGTGAGGTTCTTGGATCTGCATCCAAGGACTCACGAAGGTGGTCTCTTCTGGACGATGCCATTGTTTTAGTCGTGGAAAAGGACGCGAGTGACAAGCAGTGGAACATGAGACCAGGAATGAGCTTGAATGTGGAGTTTAAGTCCGAGGACTGTCCAGTAAGTTGTCATATTCGAAGAACATGATCATTAACCGAGTTATCTCTTCTTTTCATATTAATAAGATCGCGCTTCTTCCCGGTCGCCACTTGGAGTTTTCTGTGCCTCGATCATCAGACCAAATGGAAGCATGCTTTGTGACAATGGTGAGATTCACAAGCGACGCACCTCAAGGGAAAGCAACAGCGCTCATCAACTGGCGCTCCGGTGGCATGGAGGTGAACATTTTTTTCTTTCCATTCTGGATCCAGGAAGCAAACTAAGCGTATAGATTGATCCCAACGAGGATGTGCTACTTGTGCTCCTTTTTTCCGCAACCATAAGCATGTCCGTGTCTGATATGCTTGGCAAAGGAATTCCTCCGTGGGCAAAACCAAGAGCTTTGGAAGAAGAAGATCAAGATCACTGGGGTGAGTAGAGTATGCTTGTCGAGTCTAAATTCTAAGTGCATTGTTTAACAGGTGCTGTGAAGATCGACCATGATGGTCTTGGTGGTGAAATCTATTCTTGGTACAATGCTGGTTTCTCCTATGTTGGTGGCTGTGGTATTAGTGCTGGTGGCGGTTGTGGTGGTGGCAGTGGTGGAGGCGGTGGTGGCTGTGGTGGTGGTGGAGGCTGTGGAGGTGGTGGTAAAGCAATGGTATCTATTAAGTATAAACACTCTCATTAATGGCAAATAATATCAATATATTTCATAATTAATAAATAAAATTAGTTTAAAAAATAATGTATGTTTGTAAATAAGCTCACTAAATGCAAAAGATAAAAAGTAGTTTTAACCTGAACAAGTTTTAATAAACTTATGATGAATAAAATGCTATAAAAGAAAAATACAAAGACAAAGACAAGCACTTAAAGCAATACTAGTATAATATAGAATAATTAAACCCTAAAAAAAAGAAGTGTGAACTAATCCCAAAGACATTGCAATCACCCTCATATGCCTGTGTGCCCATTATTGTGCAAAGTAGCTACACCAACGGCAAACACCTCTTCCCATTTTGGCATAACAGTCAGTTGGATGTTTTGTAGTCACAACAGCATGCTTGTCCTTTTCATTTTTGACATGTTGTAGTCGTTGCATTGATCAAACACACTCCAACGAGTTCCATGACAACATCCTGCAATTTAAGCTCGTCAAAATGGAGCAATGAAGATTTGGGGCAATGCAAGCTCCATCAATTGTCTTTGATCAAATGCCAGAGCACAATCTCATCATCTAGAATATACATTTTACTGCCAAGATGAGACCACTTTAATATATGCCCCATCCATGAAAGAACTTCCTCCATGAAATATGAGAGGGTTCTAATCCTACATTGTTCAAAACTTCAAATATAATTTAATAGATGGTGTTTTAGGTGAATATAAAAAGTTAAAGAAAAGGAATATTAAAAGTAAAAAAAGTAGACATTAGGATCTTATTTAGTTTTCTCCGCCTTTAACTAGAAATTAATCATGGGGACGTTTGCTCCAACCTTTATGAGTTAATAGTTATTATCACATTTACTTTAATGAGTTTCTTTATTTAACCATGCATTTTGCATAATGCTTCAGTAGGTTAGATCTAAACAATTCATAGCCGTCGGATTTAATCTGAGACGCTGTAGAAATATATCTAAAGGCTAGTGTTTAGGGTAAGTCTTGAGGGGGCTGGGTTTCGCTGTTGGCGGCGGCGCTGGGAGGAGGCGTTTTTTTTTTCTCTAACCATCAAAATGCACACCGGTGGGGTGCCCATTCTCAACGTGGCTACTCAGTATTCGTTTTGGGCTGTCGCTACTGTTTTGTACAGTACGTTGAGGCGGCCAAAGCGAGAGGAAGTCGGGGAATCGAAGCCCCCGGCTGCCCCACACTTAGATGTAGGATTTTCGATTGTGTGAAACTACTAACAAGCAGGATCGAAGACCAGCTACCCAGCCCTCTTTTGGGGATTTCCTCTTTGAGGAGAACCCCTCCGAAACAAAAAACAAAGAAGCATTCCTCTCGTTTTTTTGGTCTTCGAAACAGTGTCTGTCTTGTTGCTTGACAAGGATTAGGGTTCACGGGCGCCTCAGCACCTTGTTCGGTCGCTATGTTTCGCTTGAGCTGAAATCAAGTTCGCTAACTGCTGTTAAATTGTAAGCAAGTCTTCTTTATTATAAATGGCGAAAAAAAAGTTTGCTTCTTAGTTTTGAGATTTGCGGGGCCAAGATCTCCCATGGCTGCTAGATTTCATATCTTCCTCCAAATCTTCAGCTGTCCCATCCAACTTCTCCCATCCCATCCATCTAAAATCCTCTCAGTAACTGAATCCTGAGATTGATAGAGTATTTTCATGCGCAGTCGATCTGCGCCATTTCTTGCCCAGTGAGCGCTCTCGCTTGAGATCTTGCAATGGAGAGCTCTGGCGGAGCTCCGGCGGAGCTTGTCACTTTTGTCTTTCTGGGCAGAGCTTTGCAGGAGTTGAAAGAACGTTATATATGATCTGCAGCCAACTTTGATGTAAACATGTAGTGATAAGTGAGAAAATTAATAGTAAACACTAGTTTGAGTTTACAAGTCCTAGGAATCGTTTTGTAGGGCTTATATGAACGGACAAAATCACAACTTTTAGATTGAGGCACCAGAAATCTGGAAACTAGCATGAAAGTTTCAACAACAAACATTCCAGTTTTGATCTATAATCAAAATCTATTATATTTTTTTTCTTTGAATAAAAATCTTTGTTTTCATTGACAGAAGTCTGCCGCAATCTGGAGCAGAAGTTGATGCAACTCTTGAGGAGCCGAGAAGAAAGGAGAATGGTCCGACTCTATGCTGTAGACCTTGTCCGGCAAGCTCTTGGTCACAGCAATGTCCTGCTCTTTGGGGCTAAACGACCTGTCCTTCTCCGTCTTTACGTACACCCTTGGCACGGATCCATAGCCTCTCTTAGAAGTGCTAAAGTTTACCTTGGACACCGCCGCGATTGGTGAAGGCCTCAAGAGAATCGACGCGAGCGCAACGTCCTGAAAGTAAAGCTCAGTAAACAAAGAAAGAAACCATAGCTATCGGGCTATAAGTGGCAAGCAGTACCCGAGAGAGAAGGGATAAAAGGCAATGTATAAAGAAGTAAGTACCTCTGCTGGTGAGAGATGATAAAACGCCTCACGGACAAAATCCTTCCGGACCATGACAGTCGTCGGTCCGTTTTCGACTCCATTTGCGAATGTAAAGTGCATCTTGTCGGGGAAAGACTCCGTTGCTCGCACCTTGAAACAGCAAGGACCACAGCAATTGCATTAAAACTTGGGGGTGAAAAACAAAGAAGAAAGAAAGGGCAGCTCGCTTACCAAATTGATTTCGGCCTCCTGCGTTTGTAGTCCCACTGGAAACATGGCAGCGGCGATGTATACCGACACCGCAACCTTCTCCGGGAACTGTTCCGAGGCGTGGACCACGCTCACCCCTCCCAAGCTGTGGCCGACGAGCACAACCTGTAGCATCAAACGAAAGAGAGCGTCAGGAAACTGTTCCAGGGAATTTTTCTCGCGGAGAACAAGAGACTGAGAGAGCGGCCGTCACTGTCGCTCGCGTTTGTACTTCTCAATCATTTGCCACTCACCTTGTCTTGCACTTTGCTGAGGAAATCAATCAAAGGTTGAGTGTACTCGGCGAAGGAGGTGACAGTCTCGGCGTCCCGGGTGTGCGTGCCGCAGCTCGAGAGGTCCAAGGCCGTGACTTTGTGGCCCGAGGCCTGGAGCAAGTTGACGATCTTGTACCAGCACCAGGCCCCGTGACTACCCCCATGAACGAGGACGAAGTGGCATGGCTTTGTCATTGCTGTAAGCTATACGAGCAGCAATTTAGCTCCCTGGAAACCGGCGTTGAAGAGAGAATTGAAAGCTCTTGTTCGTGCTGGCAGGACCAGCCACTGCTCTGCTTCCTGCTGCCACTCCAATTCCCAGGACACCTCAGGACGCCTCTAGCATAATAAAGGAGAACAGCGCGGACTTGTCTTTCACATCCCACAGGCCGATCGGTGGAAAATCCCAAGGAGAGTTAAAGTTGAGGCTCTCTCCCTCGCTCCCTTGGGACCCCTGTGCTGCCTGTTGGTGCCGGGAGGAATTGATAGCTAGAACCCGAGACGAGGAGGATCCGAAAACCAAAGCTTGCTTTTGCGTGCGTGACCGACGAGTGCGAAACGAGTGAGAGGCCCAAAGAAACCACTTGGAGTTGTCGTCGCCACACCTTTCCCTTCACATGCCGAACACCAACTCCCACCAGTGTCACCGAATATTTTTAGATATCCACCTTGATGAGAGCCTCTTCTCAAAACACCGAGGAACAAGGAAGCTCGAGCGTTGCCTTTGTGCCTTCCCTGTCCTGCCTTTTCTTCCCTCCCTATTTATCTGGCCCCCATCCCACGCGAATGCGCAGAAACTCCAACTTTTGAGGCCGAAAGAGAGGAATCCAACTTCCGAAAAAACAAGCGGACCGGCGGCCACCACCTCTTCACCTTCCTGTTTTCTTCTTCCTGTTGTGCCTTCCGACTTCTTCCCTGTTGTCGTCCCCTTGTTCAAACTTCTAGTGCCGGTGAGGAGAGAGGCTTCGTCGCACACGTCCAAGCAGCAACAGCACCCCCGGCGCTATTCATTTTTGGTGCCTTTCAAGCTCATTGCCGGCAGCCAGCCCAACAGCAGTGCGAGCATCAACTTCCATGCACCTATGTCGCTTGGTCCCACGCTGAGAGGGAGAGAGAAAATATCACAGGGAGCCCCAAAAGGAGACAGAGGAGCCCCACATTTGAATAGAGCGACCAGAGATCTTCCCCCTACTGCCTCGTTTTCCTGGTGGAGAAAACTGTCCAGCCCCTTCTTGCCTCTTCCAACTTCTATACTATCTATCCGCCAATATATATAGATCCGTCCTCTCGTTGGTCAGCTGCGAGCAACAGTAGCAGCAGCAGCAGCAGTAGCTTGTGACAGTCGTATGCTCCCCCGCTCTGAAGTGAAAGATTTCCAGCTTCGCGAGCTGTTTCCCGCTGAGCTGCTGCTGCTTCTGACTTCCGGTGATCAGGCCACTGGAACAAGTCTGTCACACAAATAACGCGTATTAGAAAACTGCCACCACCTTGAAAACTATAATTTGGAGAGGGATAGAAAAAAGAGTGAGAGCAGCAAACAAATCTTCTTTTATGGTATCTTACCTTTGCTTTGCTGCCCTCTCATTCATGTCATGCCATGCCGCCCCACATGTTTACTGCTCGTCACCTTTGTTTCTTCGTATAATTGAGGACTCATTCCGCACCGCAATCGCCTTTGCCTCCTCTGTGGGCCACCTCCTCCTCGCTGCCTGATGTTTGCCAGTGTTTCTAGCTGACGAGTCTAGATCACAAGGTCAAATCCATAAACGCTGCAGCGCAAATATCAGTCCAGCGTTTTAAGAAAAAATGGAAATATCGTAGAATACCTGACTAGAAGAATGAACAGATTTGGAGCATACGGTCATCTTGCAGGGCGGAAAGCTGCGAGTGATAGCGCTAGTCTGGTCGTACGGATAGACGATCCTGAACGTACAGGAGAGCCAATCTTACTTCTTTTTATTTTTTTTTCTTCCAAAAAAGAAGTGCTTGCTTTCCCCGAATCCTTGCCGATGACAGTCGGTGGCTCCCCACGTCCCGTCTGCAACATGTGCTACTCCCCCCCGATACGCATCGGCTGCAAAGCACGAACTTGAATATTTAGAGGTAACATGTCAAGTTTTACGAAAGCATAAACAAAAGACTTGCCTTGGCGCTGTTTCACGATGAAAACTTTCTCGAAAACCATGCGTGGGGGTCTTGCAGGGTTCAAAGCTCGCAGCTTCACGTACTTCTTTGCTCGCTCTCTTGTTCTCATTATACCATGTCACGTTGTCGGCTCAAATGGAAGCCCGCCTTGTCGCCTTTCGCGTCGAAATCTCTTATCTTTCTCCGCCGAGGCGATGGCTGCTGACCACTGAGCGCATCGTGTCTCTGTCTACAGCGCAAGTCTTCAAGTTTTTTTAATGCATTTGACCTTTCCAACGTATCACTCAGCTTTGCGCGCAGCTGTCTCCTCCACACCATTTCTTTTTATGCTCCTGCTGAACTTGCAAGCAAACAACCGGAATTACTTAACGTTGCCCAAGCAGATTTCGTGATTACCAGCAGCGAGATTTGATTCAACAGCACGTGCTTAGCTGTCCACGCTTGATCCGAGAGAGCCGTGCATGGATCGTTCCTTCCGTGGTATACTCTGCATCAGATCAGTAGCCACTTGAGACGAGTTCAACCGAAAGAATACACCAAACTGGAAAACAACAATAAACAGCAGACCTGGATCCGAAGTTGACGGCGTGTTTTCCAAGTCTTGGAAGGTTTGCGCTGTGACAGCGAGCACATGCACTACAAGACAAGCGTCGGAAACGCGCACTGTTGCAGGATGGATCACTTTGCGGCAGGCAAATCGACGCCTTGAAAACGAGAAAACGACACGAGCGAGTTGAGCGAGTTGGGAGTCAAAGGCAGAAAGGGATAAAACATTTCCTTCCAGAAATCTATAAGACTTTCCAAGTACGCATAATTCCAAAACCCCTGAAACAAAGCTTACGCGAGTGTGTACCAGCCATTCCTACAGAAACAAGTAGCGTTAGTGCCTGTTTACCAATAATAAAACTAAGTAGCTTACCATCCCTGCGGTAACACGAGGTACTTCTAGAGGGAGATAGACCGCTGAAGCAAACCGTACATCAACGCCGGAATAAGCCGGAGTTTTGCAGCAGTTTACCATAATCCGAAATGACAGGCGACTTCTTTACTAGGTCCCAGACTCGAGAAGCATTTCTCAGCCAGTCTCGCTCGTTCAGTGGTTTCGGAAATGATCGTCGCGGCATGGACAAAATCTATCGATTTAAATGTCAGAGACAGGAAAACAGTCACGGGCCATTACCTGATCTCGAAGTTGTCGCAACATCAGCGAGGAACTTTTGAACTTCTTTGAACTCTCGTCCTGTGCTCGAGGGAGCACAAAAACATTCGTAGTTTCCATTCTAAGCGCGTTGTCAGTATTTTCCGTGGCTTCAGTTTGAGGAAGGCCATTCCTTCTGAAACTTGACTTGAAATACTCAGAAAGAGCAGCCTTGAATTTTTCAATGCTGTTAAAGTCAAGATCACTCTCCCGCAATCTACAAAAAACAAACAGACCAAGTACATCACACTAATAATAATAAAAATATATATACTTGGTATGTACGAAGATTGTGTCAGCAAAGAACTCAGAGTTAGTTTCTTGCGGAATGTCCTCGGTTGAGGTTGATAATTGTCCTCCAGAACCTACAGTGGATGGATCAGGAATACCCTGTCTCAGCATTTCAATCTGTCACGAGTATTGCAGTAAGATACCAAGGTGCACTCCAATCAAATACAATTCACCGTTTGCAGCATCTTCCAAAGAGTCGTATCGTTTTTTCCGTCCGTAACGAGTAGAACCACATGACAAACCGCCGTTAAAAACACGCCTAGCTGCAGTAACCACAACTAGCTTTCAGAACATCGAGAGAAACACCATGTAATACCTGCAGTCCCATCAACTCGTAAGCAAGTTCTCCGGATATAGATTCTCCGCTAAGTAGTTGGAGACTGGAAGAGCCATCAGGGAGCGTTAGATCCATCAGTACGCTAGAACTATATATTGGCTGGAAAACCAGGTTATAAAAACGAACGCCATTTCCTTGAAACAATAGAACTAAATGGCAACGAACCTGTGTGTCGAGAAGAATGAGCCTTTCTGATGAAACTCTAAGTTCCATACCAGTAGAGCAATGTCTTGCTTGTGCTCGTGTCTCCTCTGTTTGAACTGGAAACGGTGGAAGCACCCCTGCGAAATACAAAGAATGTAGGAAAATGATATCCATATGACAAAATGTGAAATCGATGTACCTGACGCTACCGAGTCGAATCCATAGAGCTCATTCAAAATGGTCGATTTTCCTACTCCAGGAAGTCCCAGAACTCCAACGACAGTAAAATCGGTGTTATCGGACATCAACTACGTATTGCGCGTCAAATCTGTCCAGCATTTGCGGAGTTCTCCGCAAGAGATGATTACTTACAGGGAGGAGACGATCGGCCGAAAATTCCCAAGCATCCGTGATGAGATTGAGCGATCCCTGATACAATCTCGACCTGGCGGCGCTCTCCTCGTCGCGCATTAGCTTCACAACGCCGGAGGGAACGCCGCTGGCGCCAGCGCCACCGCCAGAGGGATGCGCCGCCGGCTTTGCCAGAAGAATCTTGGGCCATGCTCCTCCTCCAGGCGGCCCGCTGCTGCCCATTCAAACCAAGCCCTCACATAAACCCTAAAATGTTGGAGAGTGACGTGGCCAATAACGATACGGCCACGTGTAAACACGTAAGTAAACGTGGTAAGCCACGTGGAAGCTGGGAAATTGTTACACGTCATCCATGATTTTACACAAATTTGCTCTGCTCCGAGCCGAGCTTGAGCGATCGAGGAGAAACGAAAGAGAAAGAAATTTCTAGAAGCCAGATTCTTGGATCGTCGCGAGCTTGGGCCGCCATGATACGCTCCGCGAGATTAATCTCATCTGAAGAGCCATTTGGAGCTCGGGATTGTCGTCCTCAATGGCCGCCGCGGCAGCGAATTTCTTCTCTTGATCCCCTCCGTGTTCTTGTTTTTGGAGCTCGTTGCGGAGGATTTGCGCGACCATGTCCGCCGAGACTGTCACCTGCGTGATCGATCCTTTTTGCCTCAACCGGAACGCGTGGAGTAGCGCGTTCTTGCGCGGATTGCTGCTGGAGCTCTTGGACAAGGAATTATCGGAGGAGCACCGCTGGAGGGATCGTAGTGGCGATTTGCAGTTGAATCCGGCCTTGGAGCGGAGGTAGTAGATCTCGCCGCTCTCCAGATGCGTGTCCGCAGTGAGTGGCTTGTCGTGATCGAAGCTCCGGGCGTCGCCGCCGCTGGCACATTCATGCTGATCATCCAATGCGGCAGGATTACTCACGTGACACACGAAGTGGAGCGGATGATCCAGCATGAGCTCTGCCACTGTCACGGGGGACGTGATGTCCTGGATCGTCCCGTCGGTGAGAACCAGCCTTGCGAAAGAACACGGCTTTCCGCTGAGCGCCGATGTGGAGACTCTGGCCGGCGCTCCACACACCAAGTAATTTCCCATTCCCGAGCAAGAATCGCCGAAGGATCAGAGATTTCGAGGAGAAACCGTCGCACTACCGATGAAATCGATCGATCGACTCGATCCACTGGAAAACTGTGAGAAATCCCCGAGTCAAGATGGGACTGGCCTAATCTAGCGCTGCGCGGGCGCCGTCTGGATTGGATCCCTAGCCTGTGTCGCCAAGAATCTTTATCCAGGAGAGAACTCCCTCCCAAGAGCCCTAAAATATAAAAGGGAGAACTTTACTCGTGTTCGTCGTTTTTTTTTTTTTGACAGTGTCAGGAGTACACACGCGTATGCGTGTTGGTTTGAAGGAGCCGGGTGGACGTTACGGCGGAATCGCGTGCATCCTCGCCGTCCATCATCAACGGCCACGCTGCCCACGCGGATTCCGGAAAAACGCTACGCTTTCTTGCGCCACGGCGATCGCTTTCGTTGAATGCAAGGGTGGATTTTATGGTTGGTCGAAAGATGGCGATCTCTTTTTTATGGTTTTGTTGTTTGCGACTCATGCACTACTTGAGGCACGCGAGGTTTTTCTCCACATAAAGAAAAGCTCCACTCTTTATGGCATGGAAGAGCTTTGCGTACATACGAGTATAATACGAGAACTCAAACGCGTACTTGGAAAAGTCGTCCAAGTAATTACGTCAGGAAGTAGATTCGCCATTTTTTTGGAGTAGAATTGATTGGATCGCTAGCTGCAAGCAATAGCCAAGAGGAAGTTATCAAACAATGTCACGATCTTTCAAAGAGAGAGAACTTTCAATGAATGGATCGAAGTATCAAAACCAGTGTGATGAGATCACGAAGTTTGGTGATCGGTGATGTTCGCGCATTTTTCTTTGCGAGACAGCAACTTTCCATCTGAGATCGCGATTCCTTCTTTTACTTTTTCGTTGCTTTTCTCGACTGCTACGATCATTCAGCTGCGTTAGAACAGTTGCACAACGTTGCACGTACCAAACACTTGATGCTTCTTGTTGGCTGGGCGATTCTCGCGGCGTTGAAATCGTTCACCCCGTACCAGACATGAATGAAGCGTCACTGCCTTCCAAGAGTAAACTCGACGAGATTGTAAGAGACAAAAGCCACTACACTAAGAAAAAACAAAGGCGCTAACTAAACAATGCACAGGCACAGCACATAACTGATGTGTGAGCGAGCGAGAAGAGTCATGTGCTACCATTCAAACCGAAATAAAAGTTGCAAGCTGGAAGTCCAGTTCACGAAAATCGATGACAAAAGTAAAGAGAACGATCTGGTACCTATGTAGTGTTTGAACATTCCTGTTTGTTGGATTGCTTTTGGCGAGAGATTTTTCCTTCACTTTCTTCAGTCTGCACGAAAAAAGAAAAGGCTGCTTAGCAATGTTGAAGAACACTATGGAAAGAGCCAGCCAATGCACATAAATGTCTTTGCGGCGGAAAGAAAAGTTCGACAGCTTACCTGGTGCCGGAGCTTCAAGCTTTGCGAAGAAAAGCCACAGTGCTAACCCGACTTCCCTCCACGCCAGCGAAGCGAAATGTTGGGTAGCTACGAATGTGATCCATGTATTCAAACTTGAAATCGTCTGCAGCGTTTGTTGCCTCGTTGACTAGCTCGTCTTTAGTCTTGTTACAGGATGTGACAACCTGGTTTCCAACAACAGGGAAGTTCTTAGTACCACCAAAAAGAATAAATCTCGACTTGCCAGAATACCACCCGGAGCTACCAGCTGAGAAATGGACTTCCAGTACAAGAGCCTTCAAAAAAGAGAACGAAAACATCAAACTCGAAGGTCCAATAACTTTTGCTTTGTCTTTTTTCGTTCAAACCTCCGAGATTGTCCTTCTGGATGAAGTCCTATAGCATCGAGCGTCCCTTTGTCCGTAACGAGTCTGTATTGTTCTTTGAGATTGGTTTCAAGTAAGTCGTCCACCTGCATACAAAGTGCTGTAAAAAACTCTAGTCATGAAATGTCCATACCAGGAACTTAATGTCTGCAAGGCCATTTCGCTGGGCGATTGCTATTGCCAGTTCTATGGCCCCTTCGCTATAATCAATTCCCGTTAAATCTGTAAAGCTGGAGCAATCAAATCAGGAACGCGCTAAAAGACATAACCATTTCTCACCCGAGCCTATAAAATGCATGAAGGAACACACCATTTCCAGTTCCAACATCCAGAACGCTCCAGCCTGTTAAATCAGAAGGTGCGGGCAAAGGACCATCAGCGGGATTGAATGGAGTGCCGGTGGAAGTGGCAGCACAAAGCCTCGCGGTCCATCTTGCGACTGTGTCCGTGACAGACTCTCCAAACCTGAAATAGATGTATATGACACCAGAATAACGAGGCAAAACACAGTGGAACTCACCATATCTCGCCTCTATCTCCATGAGCGTAGAAATTGTTGAGCTCGTCAGCGTACGTGCTGTTCCAATGGCTTTGCAATCCTAGAACAGATTGAAGGCTTTCCTCTTCGTCCTTGCATGAGCTGCCAGTTATAAAAAGAGAGAAAAATGTTAAAGAATCCCACAGTCAAAGCAACTAGAATTCAATGCCCGTTGGAACTCAAGTCAGTCTGAGAAAAGACCATTTTAGGCAACGCTCCAGTCAAAAAAGAAAAGAAAAGAAAAAGAAACGTTCGCAAATACGAGAAGAAAAACCATGAGGTCTCATTGCCGCAAAGAAAAAGTTCATACAGGCTCACAAGGGAAACCAAAGAATGCAATGGCACCAAAGAAGCAAACTCTAGGAACGGAAATAAGTGATAGAACAGGCAAATGAAAAAGTAAACCAGTAAAAGCAATGCGTGATGTTTAGAATAATTCGATGCTCTACACAACAGGCAAGGATTCACACAGCAACCCAATGCTGGAAGCGCGCATTGATCGATCGAGCCATACCTGTAAGAATCTTGCGCTCCCGTTGTCTCGATGACCGACTCGGCCTGGCGAACAAGCTCGTCCGCATCGAGGACGCTGCCATATTCACTCCTCACGGACCAGGAATCGGCAGCGACGGAGGAGAGATCGTCATCGGAGGCCTGGAAAGCTCCGTCGGGTAGCTCCATTTGAAGAACCCTAAAATCCGGGGTTTAAGCGAAGAGAGATATTATGGCGCAATGCGGCTTCCTCTTCGAGGCGTGCGTGGATTCGCTCTTCTCTGCGATTCAAGCCGAGAAAGGTATTGTAATCTCTCCTCTCGATCACTCGGCTGGCGCTAGGCCAATACTGGATCATGATCATGAATGGGGATCGTTTCATTTCTTAGGTGGAGCTGGACGATTGGAGCTTTGCGCTGCTCTATCGCAAGGGGGAATTACTCCCAGCTATGGAAGTAAGATTGTTCTAAGAATTATTTCTTCTTCTTGTGTTCTAATTGTCTATCCATGGAAACAGTGATCAAAGCTGTTCTCGATCGCGTTCGCATTCCTGTCCATGTCTTGATACGACCTCGAGCTGGGGATTTTTGCTACACTGAGGATGAAATAGACGTAAGTCCAGCGTACAGACTTTGGAACTTCACTTCCTTTTTGTGTTCTTCGTGCACAGGTGATCTGCGAAGACATTCATATGGCTGGAAACTTGAAAGTTCATGGCATTGCTTTCGGTGCGCTCACTCCCGATGGTGATATTGATTTGCAAGTGGTATTGTGATAGTTACTTCAGTTTCATCCGACGAGCGAAACTTCTTTGGTTTTTGTAGATGACGCGGATCATCAGCCTTTGCAAAAGATACGAACTCTCCATGACATTTCACCGTGCATTTGATGCTACGAGAAACGCTGAGAAGTCTCTCCAGGTAACTTCATGCTTTGTAGTTAAGTGGCTAACGTTTTTCTTTAACACTTGAAAGACATTGCTGGAGCTCGGTGTGCCGAGAGTTCTTACATCCGGACAAGGAGAAACCGTGACGGAGGGACTGCCTCTATTGAAAGTGCTCGTAGAAAATTCCATGCAGCGGATTTCTATCATGCCTGGAGGTTTTCTCTCTCCTGTTCTGTTTTTTTCCTTTCTTCGCATATTAAACTTGTGTCCTGCAAGCAGGAGGTATCACCAAAGACAATGCTGCACGCATCGTCAGCGCACTTGACGTCACTGAACTCCACGGTTCTGCTCGTTCTGCCTCTGACTTTGGCCAGAGTTTTGTAAACGAAACAATTACACTCGCAATGCTTGGGACCGCCACTCTCATGGTAGCAGACTGTGAGAAAGTGAGAGCCATTGTTCAGGCATGTAAAGAAGCAAGGCACAATTATCCCGCCTAAGAAAGGTTCGTAGCTTGTTTCCATCGTTTGTTTTATTTGCTTGTTTTGCTTCTTATAGATACAGGAATGATCTTCACACTGAAGGAAGGGGCATGTAGTAACGTGAGTGATATGGTTTTAGTTTTAGTGCATAATCAATGATCTGCGTGTGCCTCTGGTACAGCAACGTATTCAATCAAATATTGTTCTTTAGTTACCGCCTCCTTGATTGGATCTACTTCAAGTGGGAGATTTTGACTTGCGATTCCGAATCTTTTAAGGTAGGCCTTAACTCTAAACATAGTTCTTTGTCTGAGTTTCAAGATTTCTTGCCAGAATTCTCGCAACATTGGATCCAGGTAAAAGAATTGAGTGGAAGTCTTGAAGCACCATGACAACATCCGCTGTAAAGAACAAAAGCTCTAGAGATTCAGCTCCGGCTTCTAGTTTCCAGGACAAACTCGCGCAGCTACATACCTACAGGGCTGCGAGCAAAAGCTCTCCGAGTCCATTTTCCATTTCGAAGGCGAAAAGCTCTCCAGAGTCTCCTCAAAGATCCTCTCCAAAGGCCATCTCCTCGCCATCAAGAGGACTGCTTGCTGCTCTTTCAAGTAAAAACCGAGTAAGTTTTGTTCTTCTTCGTTTTTACCTTGACAAAAATGCTGTTGCTGTCGATTGTTTTGAAGGTTGGCAAAGCAGAGAGCAAGATTTTGGTAACAATCACGATTCTCGGTTCTTCAGGGCCTTTGCGATCGATTGCGGACATTAACACCACAGTGGAACAGGTCGTAGAAACGGCGCTGCGTGCGTATGCGGCACAGGGGAGGCTTCCTGTTCTTGGAAGCAACGCAAAGCTCTTTGACCTCTATTGCAACGATGGGGAATTCACAGGCAAGTTTTTCATTTTCCTTTGCTGTTCTTTCTAGAGCTCTTGCTCGTCTTTTTTATGCGAAGTGCTAAGTCTCCACTGTTTCTATTCCAGCGTTGAAACCAAGCCAAAGACTGGGAGCTTTGTCTTGCCGGCATTTTCTACTCCACAAGACGAATCAATGCGATCAGGACGAAAACTGCGAGTTAGAGGCCTGGAAGATGAGGTGCTGGTGTTCCTCGAAACATCACCTCCTTCGAATTTAATCCAGGTACTTGTGTTACATTCTTATAATCGTCGCTTCTCACAGGACCATTCTCGATGTTGATCCAGGCAATGGTATTGTAACTTACATTCTTATAAGTATCTCTTCTCACAGAGCCATTCTCGATTTTAATCCAGGTACCAAGGGACCATGAAAAAATCTTACATTTGTTAAAGCAATGCTATAGTTCTACAGTTTCAAACAATGCAGTGTTCTATGTTTAAGAACTCTCTAGGGTTTTTCATTTAGGCGGGAAATTTGCTCCATTCGAACAAGCCGATGGCGGCGGTGCGGCTTCATCGATCTCGATGCTTGATGCTGCTGTTTCGCGGCATCGATCTAAGGCGCTAAGCTCAGGTGTGGATCATAATGCCTGTGTCTTTGGATTGATAGTAGGGATTTTGATAGAAATGCCACTCAATCGCTCCGGTGTTTGAGATATTACGCGAAGAACAGCACCGATTTTCTTCCCCAAAATGGAGGCTCAGCAGCATGTCTATCAAATCTGTGGAGTCAAGGTCGAGTTTCCATACAGGGCCTATGGATCGCAGCTCGCCTTTATGGGAAAGGTTATAACCACACTGGAGAGGGCTTTCCGGGATCCAGACGGCCACTGCAATGCGCTCTTGGAATCTCCTACCGGGTCTGGCAAGTCCTTGTCTTTGCTGTGCGCGGCCTTGGCGTGGCAGCAGCACCGAATGGTAGCAGCAGCTTCGATGGGTCCTGCTACGCAATTTGGTGGTGGTTTTATTCCCGAGGGACCAGCTTCAGGTGCCGAGGATAAGCACCAAGCAAAGAAAAACAAGCCACCTACAATTTTTTTCGCAACGTGAGTAGATTTGACAGCGTTTTCTTTTCATTATTTTTTTTTTCTAATGTTTTGGTTTGTTTTTTTTTTTTTTTTTTTGTTTGTTTGTTTTGCTAGGAGGACACATTCGCAAATCTCTCAGATTGTTCGCGAGCTGAAAAAGACGAACTATCGTGTTCCAATGGCTATATTGGTGAGCTTTAAAACAGAGTAGTATGTATGAGATTTTGCTAATGGCGGTGGACAGGCTGCAAGGAAACACTATTGCACAAATCAACACGTGTGCAAGAAGGCAAACTTGGACGATGAATGGTGAATTTTCTAGACGTCATCGTAGGACTTTTATTCTAACTCCGGGTTTTCCTTCTTGACAGTAAAGTGCTTCTGAAGGATCCACACAAAGCCTGCCCTCAGTTTAAGTAAGATTAATTCTCCTTCGACTAAAATATCATAACATGGCTCTGCTACAGAAATGTGAATAAATTGAAGCATCACCCGGCGCTACGCAAAGGAGGATGCCATGAAACTCATGACATTGAAGATCTGGTGACCTTGGCTCGTTCAGTTAGAGGTTTTTGTTTGTTGAACATTTAGAGCTTGTTAACGAGCCTTTGATTTCAGGATGTGCATACTTCACTTCGAGAATAATGGCTGCAGATGCCCAGATTGTCTTCTGTCCATACAGTTACATTCTTAGTCCAATATTTCGAAAAGCGATGGACGTTGATATTCGGGGAGCTATTATCATTTTTGACGAGGCTCAGTATGTCTTTTATCCTCCTGCTTTATAAACTAATTAATGCTTTTCAGTAACATCGAAGACATGTCACGGGAAGCCGGTAGTGTTGACTTGGATACAAGCATTCTAGAAGGTTTGAATATCAATGTCTATATTGTTCTTTCTAATTTGTAGCTTCTTCTGAAGAACTCCGAAATGAACTCGAGGAACTAAGCTCGTCCGAAGACTCACATGATCTGTACCGTCCTTTGTTTGATATGGTCCAGGTAACATGCGGTTTCTCCTTTTTCATTCGTTTTTAGCTTCTAGTTTCGCTTTGACATAGGAACTTCTCATTTGGATACGGCAGCAGGATGAGAATCTTCAGAGGAAGGAAGTCGACCACTATTATTCGAAGTATGGAAATTTTGTTCTTAAGGCTTTCCTTTACTTTTGTTCAGCTGGACAGGTCCGAAGGGACTAGAACAACTCCAAGCTGCTGGGATTTCATCTGAATCGTTTTCTATACAGCTAGACTGTGCTGTGAAGGTAAAAGAACAGTTTGTGCTTAACAAATTCTACTTTAACATGAGTCAAGGCTGCGGGAGCTGCATCCGATCCAGATCCAGAAAAGCCTCATCTGAGTGGACGTTGTGCAAGTGCAATGGAAGGTATGTACAAACCTACAATCAGTCATGATTTTAGTGAAATGTCCAGGTCTCTTTTGTGCGCTGAAGTTCATGCTGTCAAAACCGGAATACATTCACGACTATCAGATAGTGGTGCAGAGGGTCTTAAACAAAGTCGAAGGTGATCTTTTTAACTGTTTCTCTTCCCATGCAATAAAACTATATCTGTTGTAGGTACTGACGAATGGCTACACAAACTGAGCTTCTGGTGCCTGAATCCAGGGGTTGTTTTTAACGAGATTGCAACAATTTGCAAGTCTGTCGTACTTACGTCTGGGTAAAGAAGTCGAAAACCAAGAATTCACATGATTTTTATCCTTTTTCCAGGACTTTGTCCCCAAACGGTTCGTTTGCTTCGGAACTTGGCACTTCCTTCGAAATGATTATGGAAGCGCCGCATATCATAGACTTAAACTCACAGGTGCATGTTCCACTATTTTTTATACGTTATTAGATGTCTCGTCTTTTACGTGCAGCTGCTTGTGTCTGCTGTTTCCTTCGGTCCAGGAAATGTACCGCTCAATGCAAGCTACCAACATGCAAACACAGTCGCCTTTCAAGATGCCCTGGGAACTGCGTTGGAGCAAATATGCAATGTAGTTCCGGATGGCGCCCTCGTGTTTTTTCCAAGCTATAAGCTTTTACAACGAGTCTGCAACAGATGGAAAACTACCGGTCAGTGGAAGAGAATTTCGGACATTAAAAGTGTTTTCGTTGGTAAGCCTATGCTCTCATTGGATCTTAAAAAGTGCCTCTTATTTCAGAGCCGCAAGGAAGCACTGGGAAGTTTGAAGACATTTTGAAGGATTTTTACAAGGTTATCAAGGGAGAAAATGTAGAGCCTTCCAGACGGAAAAGAATCCTAACGCCGAAGAACTTCACTTCCGCAGGTGGTCAGACTGGAGCTGCCTTTCTCGCAGTCTGCAGGGGAAAGGTAAGGCTTTCAGTGTTTGTTTTGTCTAACCTCTAGCAACATCCAGGTATCTGAAGGAATAAACTTCTCGGATGAAAACGCGCGTATTGTTGTATCCTACAAACTCTGTTCTTGCATATTGTGACCTTAACCCAAGCTATAGGTGGTCGTTGGTATTCCTTTTCCAAATCTGTAAGTCTCTAATTCTATCAACTCGTGGATTAAAATTACATATGCAGAAATGACGTCCAAGTCGCTATGAAAAAGAACTATAACGACAACCAGAAAACTCTTAAAAGTCTTCTAGGTGGTGATCAATGGTACTGTTATCAAGCATTTCGGGCTTTGAACCAGGCAGTCGGTTCGTTATTTATCTGGATTTTGAAATCTCTGTCTAATAGGAATGTCACAGGTCGTTGCATTAGACACCGTGGTGACTATGGTGCAATTGTGCTGTTAGGTGAGAAGTTCTCTAAATTTTGCAGTCGAACCCATCCGCCCTCTGCAGATGAGCGGTTTAACAAGGCAAATTATACCGGTTATATGTCCAAGTGGTTAAGAAAGTCTATCATGAGACCGGCAAGTTTTCAGGAAGCTCTAAGGGATTTACAAGCCTTTTTCAGCAAGTTTGAGGTAGACTCATCGCTGTACGCTTCATTCAATTCTGTCTATGTTTTGTTTTTACAGAATACTGGCTCTACGAAGAAATGCTCTTCGGTGATCTCATCCATCACGACAACACCCTTGCCTGGAGGCGGCGTAAAATCCTGGTTCGTATATCTGCTAACTTCATTACGTGCACTCAGATCCTTTCCAGCTCTCTTTTGGAAGACCAATCCACAGATGGTTTTGTTCTTAAGACAAGGTGTAACTGAGCATCATTTTTATGTTACTGTGTTTTAAGCTGTTGTTTTCAGCTCCCTTGTGCGTGAACGACAACCTGAACTCGAGGATGTTATCAAGCTGTCCTCATGCTGCGGTCCATGGTTTGATTCAAAGTAATTGACACTTGTACAAGCGCCTTCTTTAACTTTGTATTTGCAGTGCTTATCCATCTGCAAATTTATCAACTCCCAGAATCACCAGTCTAAACAACGTGTCTCAGGTCCCGGAAACGGCTAATTTTTCATCACCTGTACAAGTGCCAGTTTTGACGGACAACCTTATGACCATGGCAACTCGTTTCGACGCTTCAAAAGACGTCAAGAATCTCTGTTGCCGCAAATGTGGCCACCACTTAAGTGCCTATGACAACCCGAGAGCAACGTATCAATTGGAAACACTAGAGAAGAAGTATCTAGCATCACTCGCAATGACTGCAACGCCTCTGTTGCGAGTGATCATCATGGAGGCCCAGCATCTGCACAGCTACCTCAACGATAATCCCGGTGGACAAGCTTTTCGGGAGAGAAATGCGTGTTCTTCTGGGGTATGGATCGAAGAGGATGGTTGCGTGTTCAAGCCTATTGTATGTGGCTGGTGCACGGACTTGGACGTCTGTTTGGGCGCTCACATCTTGGCTGCAGATCCTGCAAATATGAAATACGCTGGAAAGGTACGAGAAAATTCATGAAGTCTTCCCTGGTCTTGATACTTATTACTGTATTTCAGGTCGTTTTGTTCTTGGATTCCATTGAAACTTCTGATTGCAGTCCAAAGCAAGTTGAGCAGACTCAGTTTTCAGTTGACACTCCTGTACTAAAGAGGCCAGTCGTAACCTCATTGACTGCAACGGGAAAGGTAACATTGTGTTCAGATTTTGAAGCACTAAACAGGTAACATTCTTGTGCAGCGAAAGCTTCGGACGACAAGCTGACCAGATCAAGAGATTCCCTCATATTAATTGTCTTATAGATTTTATGCATCAGGAATATGCGCAGCTTTTAGCGTGGACAACGAACTGGAGATGTCAATAAGAACGCAAATATCCTTGTCCATAAACAACCAAGCGCCGGTATGATTCACGATTTTCTTGATATTGATAAGCAAATATATGGTTTTCTTGGCAAGTTAAAACGTGTAAACGGTATCCTGAATGAGGTAAATCTCTATACAGTTTTTGTTTTTCTATCTCGCTGCTTTTTAATCACAGGCATGGACCAGCGAAAAAAATGCGCCGTCCTTTCCTCTAGCGAGCAGCTCTTTCCGGCTCCCTTGCTCCAAAACTGTCCCATCCCCAACCACGACAATCCTGTCCGCGTTTTTTATCGTTGACAACATGTGAGCCACCACAATGGTTGTCTTTCCCACCATAGCCCTCTCCAGGGCACGCTGAACCTCGCTCTCCGACTTGGAATCCAACGCACTCGTGGCCTCGTCTAGCAAAAGTATCCTCGGCCTCTTCAAAATTGCTCGAGCTATGGCTATTCTTTGCTTCTGCCCTCCCGAGAGCTGTGTTCCAATCTCTCCTACCGGTGTACAGTATCCTTGCGGCAATGCACTACAGAATAGAGAGAGTCCATCAACTTTGAGCTAAGGTACGTACGTAGAAAGAAAAAAAATTACCTGATGAATCCATGAGCATTAGCTGTTCGTGCTGCTTCCATGATCTCGCTCTCACTAGCGTTTTCTTTTCCGTACGCGATGTTCTCACCAATGCTTCCAGCAAACAATGTTGGTCCTTGACTGACAAGCCCGATTTGCTGCCTCAGGGACGCGAGCTGGAACTTTCTAATATCTCTCCCATCGATCTCGATGCTGCCAAGCTGAGGGTCGTAAAATCTCTCCACCAGGCTGATGATGGTCGACTTTCCGGATCCACTCCGCCCAGCAATGGCTACTGTTTGAGCAACTTCCACGGTGAGGCTAAAGTTCTTCAGCACGAAAACTTCCGGCCGTGACGGGTAAGCAAAAGAAACCTTGTCAAACTCTATGTGTCCTGTGATTTCTTGATTTTTCATCGAGCCTTGTTCCAGACTTTTTGAAGTTGGTTTCTCATCCAATATCTCGAAGACCAAGTCCGCTACCGTCTTTCCTTGGCTGATATCCGGGCTTAGCCAGAGAGTATCGGCCAGCGACCTTCCTGTGCTTATGAGAAGGTAAAATGTGAGAAGGAAGTCTTTGAAGCTTGTCTTGCCTTGAGCGATCAACCGTCCTCCATACCAAAGACAAAGAGCGTAAGACGAGAAGAGAGCAAAGAGTGCTATTCCAGAGCTAATCCCTGCTGCTTGTGACAGACGTACCACTCGCTTGGAGAGGCTCTCAAGTCGAGACTCCAATATGGTGACGATTCTCGAGTGGGAAGAAAATGCTGCCACGGTTTGATGACGGGTGACTCCCTCAAGGATCAGCTCACTAACTTCTTCCTGGACTTTGGCAGCTTTCCTTGCGAAGTCTTGGAGGCTGGTTACCCGAAAGTAGAAGCAAATGAGGATAACCGGTTGGATGGAAGTGATGACGATGGCAAGTTTCCACGAGACTACAAAGCTAGCCACAACACTCACGGAAATAGTTGATGCAGTTTGGACGAAGAGGGAGATCCTATCACTCACGACTGTTCTTACCTGCAAAGAAGAGGTGAGCATCAAAAAGTTTGGACAAAATTGACTGTAACTGACCATGCTTGCGCTTGACGCTAGGCGAGAAGTTAACGCTCCACTAGAATGCTGCTCTTGATCGAACCAACTTATATCAAGCTCGAGGATTTTGGCCATCATCTTCTCTCGGACTCGTTTAGTAAGCGCTGCTCCCATGGATCCAAAGCTGTAGTGCTGGAGGGTGTTGGAGGCAAAAGTAACGAGTGAGAGTGCTGCGAAGATCATAGCATCGTTTCTCACTCTGTGCCTGGTTTTGGCAGGGCTATCCGAATAAAATGACGAAATGACGTCGGCCCCAAGAGCAACAAAGATCGGATGAAGGAAGCCGATACTTACTGCTGCTGCAATTCCGAGTAGGCAGTATTTCCACTCCGGTTGGTTCATGAGGAGGAGACGAATGAAGTCATTCCTCTTCTTGCCCGATTGTTCAATCCGATCCTTCCTCGCTAACTTGGTTTGTACGACATCTTCGACGTTCTCTTCCTGCGTTTTCTTGCGTCTAAATTTTTCTGGCGACCCTTTTCTTGTAGATTGATCGCCTTCCACCTGCTGGAGCTGGAACATCTCTGCAAAAGCTCCCTCATTTTTCAAATCCTGCTTGCTTCCATACTCCACCACCTTGCCAGCCTCCACCACCGCGACCAAGTCGGCACTTTCGATTGCTCGAAGTTTATGTGCTATCACTAGAGCTGTTCGAGCAGTGCAAGCTTCCTGGATTGCCCTTTGGACTGTCCTCTCGGACTCGTTGTCGAGAGCGCTGGTAGCTTCGTCCAGGAGAAGAATAGCCGGATTTCTCACCAGAGCTCTTGCTAGAGCTATACGCTGCTTCTGGCCTCCAGAGAGCTGCTCTCCTCGTATGCCAACCTGAGGAAGTAAGTTTTGTTAGTATCTGCATGTTCTGTAAGCTGCGTTTTGACTTTCAGACCTGAGTCTCGTATCCTTCTGGGAAGCCGCAAATAAACGAGTGTGCGTCGGATTTCCTGGCGGCAGCAATTACTTCCTCCAAGGTTGCGTTCTCTTTTCCTAGAAAAATGTTCTCCTTGATTGTGGACGAGAAGAGAATAGGCTCTTGGCTCACTAATCCAATTTGCTCGCGATACCACTTCAATTGCAGGTTTTTGATGTTTACTCCATCCAGAAGAACTTTCCCGTTCGAAGGATCATAAAAACGTTCCAGCAAAGAGATAACCGTGGATTTTCCGCTCCCGCTCTTGCCAACTAAAGCCGTGGTTTTTCCTGCGAGGTATAATATTAGATAATAATACGTGTTTTTGCTTTGACTCTTACCAGGAGCAATATGCAAACTGAAGTCATCCAAAACTGGGAGTTCCGATCGTGAGGGATACGAGAATATGACGTTTTGAAACTCTAGCTCTCCTTCAACACGATCGAGAACTCGGCCTTTCGAAGAATCGATATCGATTGTTGGTATTGTCTCAAGAACTTCAAAAATCCTGGAGAGCGCTGCCTGGCCATCTTTGATCTCTCTAAGATTCTGGAGTATACTGCCCAATGCCCTGCCAAAAGCCGCATCCAAAATGTAAGAAACTATGTTTTCATGGCATAGACACTTACATGCTTCCCACGACAAATGCAGATCCCGCGAGGAGTATTTGAGCACCATTTGCTTGACCCTTGGCTACCAAACTTCCTCCATACCAAGTCATTAAAGCCCACACGACATATCGTAGTCCATGGAATCCCAGCGTAAGTCCTTTGGCCAGTCCCTGCTTGCGATCGACTTTGATACTCTCTTCCAGGGCCCCGGAGTATAACTCCAATGTTTTCCTCTCGGCAACAAAGGAGTAGACCACCCGTATCGAAGAAATTGCCTGCTCGGCGATTTTTCCCGCAGTTGCATAAGATGCCTGCCTTTGCTTGGCGTAGCTGGAGAGAGCTCCGCTGTATAGAAAACCCGGAAAGAGCAACACCAGCACAAAAGGCGAGACGATCAAAGCCAGCCTCCAAGCGAGTATCAAGGCCGTTATAACGCTTCCAACAAAAAGGGAGATGTTCTCGATGAAGTGGCCAAGCTGCGTAGTAAAAGCTATGAGATCATGCACACTCAAAAAAAGGTGAGTTTTTTGTTTTTCTTTCTTTTCTGCCAACTTACTTTCTCTCCGACAGCTTCCTGGACGTGAGCAATATCAGCGGAAACGTTTTCTATAACGTTTGCAGTAGAGATCTTGCAATCAAAGTAGCTGGCGTCCTGGCGTAGCACGCAATTCACATACTTGACTCGAAGCCTGCGCGCTTGCCTGTGGCCAGTATAGATCCAGCAGCTTACTTCTGGCAAGGCACGAAACAGCAATCAATTACGAGAGATGGAGATGGACAATGTCAGCTTTAAGTACAGTGCTCGGACCAAACTTTATCTTTTAATAGTGGGACGCGATTCGAGCGATATTTTGGTGCACTCAAATCGATCGACAAAGGAGGAAATGATCGAGACGTACCGAGATATGCTCCTAGCAGAGAGATGGCTGCCAAGTACACGCACCAAATTGCCTACATACCAAAACTTCGAGCATTTAGATCACTTGAGAAACTGGATCGGTCGAAGGAACTTCTTTTCTACCTGTTTGTTGGCGTTGGAGGTATGGTTTCCATAGTTGTTGTATACGTGACTCTGAATTGTGTACACGGCAGGGAGCGATAAACCATTGATCATCGAGCCTAGAGTACCGAAAATCATCGTTATGGAGTCGTACTTATCACCTTCTTGGAAAAGCCTCTTGTAGGACGCAAACACCGTCATGAACGACTTCGACTTCATGAAATCGTCCCCTCAAGGTACTCAGGTGAAAAGAAATTCCTTTCTCTCTCTCTCTCTCTCTCTCTCTCTCTCTCTCTCTCTCTCTCTCTCTCTCTCTCTCTCTCTCTCTTCTTTGCTCTTTTCTTCTTGGGAGTCAAGCAAGAAACTGATGATGGGGTTGATGCTATTAGAGTGGAGAAAGGGAAAGAGCGCGCTCTACGGAGTTCTCTGAGAGGGTGTTTATATATTAAGTAAGACAACAGTGACTCCATGGCGGCTATGTCTGAAGCATTTGATTGTGCCTTTGCTTGGCAGGCTTCCGTGAATCGAATATCTATGATGTTCTCAAAGGACGAACTTCTGGGAAAATGCATCCCACTCACAGCGAGCTTTCTTCTTCTTCTCAAAGGCTTCGAGGTGAGCGAAGAAAACAGAAGTTCTACACTCGAGTTTTCTAGTTTCTTGGCTGCGCAGTGCTTGTAGGACTTTGGTGTCTCCATCGCAACGTTTGAACGATGTGCGTGGAATCAAGCAACAGTTTCTACGTGAGCGGTTTCGAGGTAAAGAGAACAAGAAAATAAGAGACTAGATCACGTCATGACAGTCAAAAATTCCCCGCTCTTCCATCGTCATCCTCTTTTCCAGATAGCAAGCATATAGTGCATTGCTTTATGCAAGCAGCCGCATCAAAAGGACTCATGACTCACACGATTCTCTCCATTTTCACGCTTTCCATTATGTCTCATTTTGTTCTTCTTTTACAGCGAAAGACCGATCCTGTGCGTCTGCCCGTGCAAACTCGAAGAAATCACCGCAAGTAAAACAGGTGCTACATGTCTCTTTACTGTTAGAAACTCACACGAACGCTGTTCTTTTCTTTTGGCACAGGCCTGTGATGGGAACTTTTTCCACTTGGTACCAGGTTTTATAAAAATCACTCCACTGGAGGCCAGATTGATGGGCTTCGATTCTTCGCTTTGTTGGTGGTGCTGCTGGTGGTGGCGCTGATGATGACCAACAAAGCATCCACGAGCAGTGTCTCGTTTCTCCTTGGAATTTCCAAGAGGCGCCTTCCCGGTTTGCAATCAATTTCTACACAAGCTCTTCGTCAATCGTCAAAGTTGACTTCTATTATGCGATTTCTCCAATGGTTTTACATTTGGCACCATATTCCAGATTTGATGTCGAGGCTATCGAGTTCTCTGGGATCCTTTACGCAATCATTGTTCTTGCACTTAGTAAGTTCTCTAGATTTCATTTACATTTGGAGGTCTTTGTTCTCCAGAATTTTCTATCGATTTCTATTCTTTGGAATTAAGCAATCGTAGCTCATCTATTTCCAACATTTTTGAGAGTTTCTTTGTCAAAATAGCGCGCGAAAGTTTGAATTCTAAAAGCCCTAATATTTAAACCATTTTAGGGCTTCTTTAGGGTTCCTCAGCTATGGTGATACCCGGGCGCCGTGCGCTCAAGCAAGGCGCGCTCTCCTGGATCTCTCGCCGCCGCCTCGTTACTCTGGTTCTTGGAGCTGTGCTGCTCGCCTACATTCTTGTTTCGCTTCAAGATCGAGGATATCGGGCCGGATCTACGTCGTCTTCGTCGCGGTGGGCGGATTACACGCTTGAGGCCGCCGCTGCTGCAGTGGCGCGGGACGGCAGGATCGTCGTGTGCGCGGTGAGCTTCCCCTACCTTGCATTCCTCGTGAATTGGCTGATTAGCATCGCGAGCCACGGGCACCACGACAAGGTGTTGGTGATTGCCGAAGACTATGAGATGCTCAACTACGTGAACGAGTTCTGGCCTGGCCATGCGGTCCTTGTGCCACCGGCATTGCCACTTGCGACTGCTCAGAGGTTTGGATCACAGGTGACAAAATTCTTCTTTTGATTGCTCTTTTGTTCTGGCTTGCATTTTTTGTGGCTCTTTTGGTTTACTTGCTAGATTCGTCGAGTGTTTTTTTTTTTTTTTTCCAGAGATTTGGATCACAGGTAAAAGAGTTGTTTTGATTGCTCTGGCTTGAGTTTTTGGTGCTTTGGTCTCAGCTTTTTTGCGTCTTCTTTTTCTTGCTAGATTCGAGTTTTTTCTTTCCAGTTTTTTTTTGTTTCAGAGATTTGGATCACAGGTGAAAAAGTTATTCGTTTGCTTGCTCTTTTGTTCTGGTCTCGTGTTTGGCTAGGTACATTTTTGTGTCTTCTTCATGTTGCTAGATCCGTCGATTTTTTATTTTTTATTTTTTTGGTCTTTCGTTATCTTCGTTTGAGCTAACGCGTTCTAATCACAGGGTTTCTTTAATTTCACTTCCCGCAGGCCACAACATCTGCTCAAACTTTTGGAACTTGGCTACTCTGTTCTTTACAACGACGTGGATATGGTCTGGATGAGCGATCCATTCCCGTTGTTTACTGGTGACCATGACATATATTTCACAGACGACATGACTGCGGTATCAATCTCCTCTTCTTCCTTAATTCTCTTTTGTCATTCTCAAGCTAAGAGTTTTTTTTGCATGGCTTTTTATACTCTGCCAGATCAAGCCTCTTGACCATTCTCACAGCCTTCCGCCTCCAGGAAAGAAAGGCAGAACCTACATCTGTAGCTGTATGATCTTCCTGCGGCCCACACCTGGAGCAAAGCTTGTTCTACAAAAATGGATTGAAGAGCTTCAACAGCAGCCCTGGTCTCCCAAGGCAAAGGCAAACGATCAGCCTGCCTTCAACTGGGCTTTGAACAAAACTTCCAACAAGGTAGCTTTCTTTTCGTGTGTGTGTTCTCACTTATCAAATTTTCTTGCTCTTTTTCTTTGTGTGTAGGTTGACATGTATCTCCTACCTCAGGCATCCTTCCCTTCCGGCGGACTATACTTCAAGAACGAAACCTGGCGAAGATTACCTCAGAACCAGAACAAGCTCACGATTATTCACAACAATTACATCACTGGCTTTGACAAAAAGATCAAGCGATTTCACGACACCGGCCTCTGGCTCATCGACGACGCTCATGTCAACACCTTGCCCGACTTTAATCTCGTAAAACACTATCTCGACACGCAGCCACAACTATAGCAATCTCGTCTCCATCACAAGTTTCCCTCGAGCAGCTGTCCACCGGATATCGATCTTCTCCTTTTTATCTCCACTTTATTCTCTCTCTGGTGATATCACCTGAGCTCACACTTAGACATGCGGCCCTGGTTTATTTCCATTGTCCCGCCTTGTACAACTGCTCTTGTGGCGTTTGTTGTCTTCATCAATAGTTTCCAGCCACTAGTCGCGGACGGAGATAACTGTGACTTAACTCTACTTCACATTTGTTCACGAAGGTGGGCTCTCTCTCTCTCTCTCTCTCTCTCTCTCTCTCTCTCTCGTATTGTCTCTCATCGATCGTTTGTGCGTGTGGTTTTTCCAGGCGAGAAGATCGACCGTAGCTCTGGTTAGTTTCCTTTTGGCACTCCCTTTTTTGTTGTATATAAGTGTATCGCTGCCGAGAGCTAATTTTACTGGGACTAGTTTGTCCTTTTTTCCCTTGTAGGTGGAAGCGATGAATCCTCCAGAGTCTAAAGCCCCTGGAAACGCCATAGCTTTGGACATGAGCGGCGTCGCCAGCGCTCCCAATCCCGGCGCTCCAGAGAACTCGTAAGTTTCTTCCTTGCTCTTTAGCTCTTCTCCACCGTCGGATCGCTGCAATCGCTCCGCGCCGTCGATCGCGTCCCGGGCTGAAAGCCGGTCTCGTGCTCGAATCTCCCGCGCTGGACATCCCACGAGTGTCTTGCTTGCTTCCGTGGCGTGTCCTGATTGGCTGTCTTAGATCTCCTAAGCCACTTTGCTAGAGCCCTAATTGGAGCATCCATTTTGCGAGTGACAAGTTTGGTGGATTCGTGGCGCTTTGTTGTTCCAGGGCGAAGGGTTTGAAGAGGAAGGAGGCGGCTATGGCGGTGTCGTGGGGGATTGGCCCAACGCCATTCATTCTCACTGTTCACATCCTCGGCGTCGCTGCGGCGATTCTGGTTTTGATCTGGAGCATCAGCTACAGGGGAGGTCTCAATTGGAATGCGGTCAATAAGAACCTCGTCTTCAATGTAAGCATCTCATCTCCGATAAGTCGTCCTCGTTTCTCTTTGTTTCTTTTGGAATTGAGTTAGAGGTGAGTGAGAAAGCATTGAGTTTTTTCGTTTTTTGAGCTTCCTGTCTTCTTGGCATTGATGAGGAATGATCCAGTGACTGGTTTGGATAGATTGAGTGTCGTAAAAATCCTCTTTTGGTAAGAGGTTTTGCTTCTTTCGATTGATGAACAGTTTTGGATTTGGAACTCACTCTCCACCTGCAGATACATCCGGTACTTATGGTCATTGGATTCATCTTCGTCTCCAGTGAGGGTACGCTTCTTTCTTTCCCGACAAAGCCAAAAAGCTTAATACTTTTCCTGTTTTGTCGCAGCTATTCTAGTGTACAAGAGCGTTCCCGGCAGCAAAGTTTACAGGAAAGGCGTCCATCTGAGCTTGCAAGCCGTGGCTTTGGGCCTGGGGATCTTTGGAATTTGCGCGGCTTTCAAGTACCACAACGAGTCCAAAATCGACAACCTCTACAGCTTACACTCGTGGCTGGGCCTCGGAACAATCATCCTCTTCGCCATTCAGGTATATATATCTTTCGTTCTCCTTCGTTTTCTAGCTTCTCATTTGGATCATTGCTTGAAATTCTTGGCAGTGGATAGCAGGATTTGTAACATTCTGGTATCCTGGAGCAGCCGCCAACACGCGACGATCCGTCCTCCCGTGGCACGTTTTTCTCGGCATTTTCATCTACGTTTTAGCCATCGCCAGTGCGCAGACTGGTGTGCTTGAGAAGGTGACTTTCCTGCAAACCTCCAAGGTCTTTGGCCACTACGACAACGAAGCTTACATCGCAAACTTCACTGCCCTCGTGGTGCTCTTGCTGGGCGTTTTCACCGTCTTGGGGGCTGTCATTCCCACGGTTTCAGCGGAAGAGGAGTACCGGGCTCTCGAGTGAAAAAGAATTACCGCCTTTTGTACAGAGATATATGTATAGCGAGTTGAATTTGATACTGCTCTGAACGGATCATCTTTAAACAAGGATATATTTTTCGCGATTGGTGTCTCTGGAAATTATATCGCTTCATACCTTGTTATTATTCGACTTTGCGTTGTTCTTCCTCTCCAGCTCTGGTGAGAACCAAGATTCCCAGAATGATAAAGCACGCACCAAGAAACCACTGTCCCAAAGAGAAAAGTGTTGCGTGCTTTAACCAATTTTTTCAGCACCCACCTGAGCCGTGAGCTTTTCCCCAAACAAAAACCAGCCAGCCACTCCCGACAGGAGAAAGTTCGCCGCGAAGTTCACCACGGTGGCTTGCAACGAGGAGAGCATCACTAGACTCTTGGTGTAGCAGCTCCACATGAGAACATTACTTCCAACCGCTGCAGCATAGCACAAGAGCTTCACTTCGAACGAGATCTACACAGGATAAAAAACAAGAGCTTGTCACGATCTCTAAAACCCTCCCTCGCGATTTCTCTTACTGATGGTGAAGCGAGCTTGGCCGCAATAGCAGCCCCGGCGGCGCAGCTCCCAGCCACCATCGCCCATATCCAGCCGCGCTTGGATCCTTGAGTTCCAAGCATTCTACAATAAACTCGTAACAAGAACAGAAAAATTGATCCATTCAGTACCTGATTCGCGATGGCCTCCGCTTTTCAACAAGAAGCTACACGAAGCACAGTTAGTGAACACACCAAGGCTACAAAATCGAGCTTACTTGTTGCCAGAGTTGCTGGTTCTCCTGGTATCAAACTTGTGATGTAAAGCCCATATTACATTGATAATTGTAAGAGATTACAACAAGGGGTGCGTTAAGCGCCAGTTTCGATGGGATGAAAACGATACATTCTCATACAGTACCTAAAAGCAAGAATTCAAGCAGAGAAACAAAAAATGAACAGATATAAGTACCAGTTTTTGATCATCCCCTCCAGTGCAAAAGAAATCATCGTCAGAAGATATAGAAACCTGTGAAGTGGAAGATAATATGTAAGCAAAAAGAGGACGAACGGTTTTGTAAAGACTCACCGTATTGACACATCTGGAATGACTTTGCAAATGACGGAGGCATGGTTCTCCCAGTGTAACATCCCAAAGAGCGACGCTACCATCTCCACTTGCAGTTACCAGGACAGGGGAGCTGTTAAACCAGCGAGCGTCATTTACTCCTTGGTCCCCAGCATCCACAAAGCTACACACACGAGAAGAGTTGAGAGGTCGCTCACTACCAACAAGTAAGAAAAAACCTCTTACCCGGCACGCTGGCATGTGTTTTCTGCCGTAGGCATTGGTTTTCCATGGCTCAAACAGTGTAACGCCTTTGTAACCCGGGAGCCTGAGGTGGCTACCGCCAGTGGAGAGCTAACGCGCTCACGGGGCTCCATTGGCATTAACCGTGTGTCCCAAACGATTGCGCTGTTTGCTGTGCAAGATGCCTGGATATATCTTCCACAGGAACTGTAAGAAACGGAAGTAACCTGGAAAAAAAGTTAGATGACCTTGGCTTTGGCTGCAATGGACGGAGAAATACCTCACAACGGGGGCCAAGAGGTAGTCTGGAGATGGCACCACAGCTCCGAATATCAAATAAGCCGATTGTTCCATCGCCTGAGCCTGTTGAAAGGAATGCATCAGCAAAGGCTAGACATATATCTCTGAGTTAATTACCTGTCACCATAACTGTTCCTGCTGGATTAGTCTTTAGGCAAGTTATATACTGCCCCAAAAAAACACGAATCAGAAACTCTCAAGATTGGAAAGCAATATTGATTACCATGTCATTTGCTGGAAATCTACAGCACTCAAGGAGCGCATCCACGTCCCAGATCTGAACAAGACCCGAGCCATTTTGCGACGAGTCACTTCCGCATATTAGTAGGTTGTTATTACAAAACTCCAGAGCATCCATGGGAGGCAAATCTTCCCTGGAGACAAAAAAAAGAACCATTACACTTTCAGCATTTCTACTCGAATAAAAGTATAGTTAGCTCACGTACCTGTCCTGTGAGATTAACTCTGATACAAGCGTTCCTCTTACCACGTTCCACAAAAGCAGTTGCCGATCGCCTTGACCACCACTTGTTGCCACAAGGCCTGCAAACAACCAAAACAAGATCAGTAAAGCGAGATCCAAGAACGTCACGAACAGCAAAACGCTACAGGATTGCGACGGATTAACAGCCATTGCAGATATTTTTTTCTTATGACCAGCCACGTTGTTTTCGTCAGAACCAGGCCCCAGAGTGTAAAGACACTCAGCAGTTGATGAATCCCATACCTGAATTTGAAAAACAATGTCAATATATACAAGACAAAACGTAGCAAGATACGACCTTCACAGTGCTTTCAGCACATGAAACAACTAGAGACCCCTGTGAGGCATACTCCACGGCTTGGACCTGAAATTGATGCACCAAAACAACAATTATAAATAAATAAACAAATAAAGACAAGAAAATATCACATCCATCGCAAAAGAAGAAGACCGAAAAGAGCCCTAAGAATGGAAAAGAAAACCTGGCAATTGTGTCCACTCAATGCTTTAGACTTTCCAGTGATCAAGTCATAAATAAGCAGCTCGTTAGGTGCCTGCATTGCACATTAGCGAGGACCACAACCTTGGTAGAAAACAGCTTACAGCGTTGCAACCGCAAACAATCTGTGGACCTCCACAAGGATGGAACCTAACATCCAAAACCTTTTGAAGTCCCTCCTGCTGCAAGCAAACCGAGTTAAGAGAAAATGCATCTTAAAAAAAAACTATGATCACGGGCTTACAGCAGGTTGCGCAAGAGCCACGCTCGAAGAGTAGGCCGACCAAGTTGGCATCCACGAAGAAAAGTAACGCTGTCCAAGCTTCACGCCAGGCGCCTTGAATCGCCTCTCGAGAGACCACCAGCCTGCCGAAAGATCACGGGCCTGTTGATCAATCTATGAAGCTTTTACAGTTCCAACTTTCGCTACCTTGGAAAGCAGCGGTCCACTTCCGGCGGCGGGGACCGATGTCCTTAGATCCACACCCAGAATTCAAGCCTGCCTCGCGATCCCAAACGAGCTTGAGCGTGCTGGATCCTTTGCAACTTTGCATGTCATACTCATCTGTTACACTAAACAGGACCATTTATTCAAAAAGGAGAAAAAAAAATTCGGGCATTGGTCATCCTAAGTACCTGTCGAGGCATGGCTACAAGCCCATGCATTAACAGATGGTTCCACTGTGGTCTCGTTCGTCAGGGGCGGGCCATTCGATTGCTCCGAGTCTGAGGAAGCACTTGCTCTCCGGGACCACGAAGTCCTGCTCTTTCGCCTCTTCGCAAGCTTGAGACTTGACGTTCGACGCCCGTCCAAGGATCCGTTCCCTGCTCGCCGCTGCTCCCTAGCTTTCAGAATGAGATCCCGCAGCTTCACTTGTAGCTGACAAAGCCTGCAAGTTTTCGCAAAGTTGTCAGTACCAAGCCCATATAAACACTGCCACATACAGCTCGTAT